CACCTCTCTCTCTCTCTCTCTCTCTCTCTCCCTCTCCCACCGAGAGAACCCTTTTCAATCAACCACCTCGTTTCGATCTCGAACGGGAACGTTCGAGAGAGCAATGGTCGATTGGATTCCGTTTCTGTCCCTCGCAATACACACACACACACACATATATATAAAACTTGTTCGTTTACGGCCGATTTTACTGTTTCCGATATCCGATTTCAATTAATCGGCTCGCCCCCTTCGAGAGAAATCGACGGGTATCGGGTTCTTTCTGCTCGGGGTGAATAAAAACTTTGGTAATAATTCGGAGACCCCTGTGCGAGGATTTTCAATTTAAACTTCTTCGATTACAAACGCGTTAACTCGATCGAAGAAAGGAAGAGGGTAAAGCGGGGGGGGGGGGGGGAGGGAAGAGGCATACAGGAGTGGTCGAGGCGGGTCTCCGATTGGCTCGAAACGGCCGAGCCGGATGCGGAGGTCGGGCCAAAGCGAGGGCGAGCTCTTGAATTATCCGTCTTAATTTGTCCGTCACGAGAATTAGCGCGAGTCGAATGAGGGAGGAGGAGGAGGAGGAGGAGGAAGAAGGGATCGCGCGCGAGAGAGCACGAACGGGGCCTCCCATGGTGCATCCAAACGATCGACCTTTCACCCTTTCCCCTTCGAACCTGTATGTATATATATATACATATATACACACCTAGACCTCCCGTCTTTCTTTCTTTCTCTCCTTCCTCGAGTTTCAATCAATTTCCTCCTATCGATTATCGCGTCCTCGTTTTTACGTATCGATACCTCTCGCGTTTCAACGCTCTTTTCAACGCGATAGATTGGTTCGAGTGGAGCGTGGCCTATTCTCGATTTCGATCACGCAACACGTCTGGCTGATTTCGTTATTCGATCATATTTGGGACACGTATCCTTGATTTAAGGCTCGCCCTAATATAGTGTTGCCACTGTATCCGCAGCTGCCCAAACGCTCGAACGGTTCCGTAATGAAATCGTTTCCTCCCTTTTTCTTATGCAAAGGAACGACTTGGAAGATCGCCGCGCATCACCGATAATCGCCCTCATTTTCTCGCTCCGAGCGAAATTCTTCCAACGGACATTGCAACGGGCTCTCGGAGTTAAAATCCTCGAGCGTCATTCGAGAAAGCTGTTTGCTCGACGCAAATACGGTGGAGTATGTACAAAAGAAAAAGAAGAAAAAAAAAAGAATAATAATAATCCTTAATGTTGCTACCCCAACTCCGAGTTTTCGAGTGGGGTCCGATTGAAGTGGCGACTCCGCTCGAAACGTCATCTCGCGGAGATGACGGGAAAGAAAACAGTGGGACAGGAAAGGATCTTAATTAAAACCCGTGGAGGAGGCGAGTTGTTTCGACCACGTACGACTCGGAATGCTAGCAACATCTGTCCTAGGAAAACGGAGGCGATTCGACTTACCGAGGGTGCCGTCGAGGGAGAAGGAATGCCTGTCGTTTCTCCACGCCCACGAGCACAGGTCACAGGTGGTGAGTCCGTCGGTGGTAACACCCTCCTCCGGTAAATAAGGCGGCCTGGGCGGCGGTGGCACGAAGCTACCGATCACAGCCCAAAGAGAGTCGACGTCGTTCCCGACGCCCGTGTAGTACAGCAATTCCTCCTCGGCCACACCGGCGAACCAGTCCATGTCGTTCACGCCCGGATGAACCGTGTTTGTGCTTGGCGTGCTCGTGCTGCCCACCGCCACCTGCAACGTCATCGCAAACATTTTCACAACGCAATTTTTCAATCACCCATTTTCAATCATCCACCTTCCTTCGCTACGGACGACTTCCTCGCCACTGCACTAAAAATGGACTCGAGAAAGAGATCGTCACAATTCGAGTTGCTTTACAGGTTTTTATTGAAATAATCATTTTACGCGGACCGATTATAGTCGTAGTAGCGTTAATTTTCGAAGTTTTTGGAATTCTTCGCTAAGTCTTTGGAAAAAGATGACGATCAACGATGATGTGATCATCACCGAGTATTAAACAGCGAGTAAAAAAAGCGAGTGCGTTTCGTCGCTCGAGAGTTGTTGTACGAGAGAGCGGCGCTTTGTGACGAGACGGCCCGAGTTCCTAACTCCTACGACAAACAGTGAAGACGGCGCGGGCGGTCGCAAACAAAATCTTTCCTTCCACGTTGGACCTGCAAGTTTTAAACCTCGTCGGTAAACAGTGACGAAGCGTTCGTGCGCTCGTCATCGGCCTTGGTATCGTTTCTCGTAAATTGGGGCATCGTACCAAGCAACGCGATGACGTTGCATCAATTTTTTTCACGTTTTTCAATTTCCTCGATGATAAGGATATTCGAGAAATCGTTAGACGTTTAAATAAAGGGTTATAATGAAGGATACAACGATAGAGCACCTGTCACGTTTTTATACGTTCTATACGTGTTATTTTTTATCGAACTGTTGTAATGATAAAAAAATTGTTCGTCGAATCTCATTATTTCCACGATCGGTCTTTATTACAGCCAGCTTATTAATTGTATCGTTACATACCGGTTTTTAGTTGTAAGCAATTACAACTACTATGTTGTACTTTTCGATCGATATTTATTTCGATTTTTTTCGATTTGACGATTAATTTTCCATATCGTAATGGATTTAGGAATAATTTACGCAATATTATGTGGACAACAACAGGAATTAACAAAGTTTTCGTGAAGCAAAATTAAATTTAAATTATATTTCTGCTCTATGAAGTTTAAGTTTTTATTTTATTATTATTTACCGTTTCTGGATTTTTGGACCGTATAAAAAACTCGTGTCGTATCGCGAAGAATACGGCGCAGATATAATACGCAAATTACATCGCCAAACATTGATGCTTGCACAGATCGAGGGAAGAAATATTTCAGGGAAATATCGTGCGGATGATTGGTAAAGTAAATTAATGCGGTTCGATTAATGCATCGAATATTGTCGTATTCGTGACGCGAACAACCCCTCCCAGCAAGCACGTTTTAGGGAGGAGCGATTTTGAACGATTTTCTGGTATCGATGGTTGCACAAGCCGCGATTACCACGAACGAGACCATGTGCCACGAGACCGTGGCCGCCCCGAGCCATGAATTTCACACACGATTTCCCTCGGCTCGAAGAAATATCGACTTCCACGCTGCATTTCTTTCTTCCAACCACGAGAAATTGAAAGGAGAGTATTTATATTCGTCACAGTGCGAGCTTTGCCTTCGAGCCACGTGCCACGGGATAATAATCGACTGCTAGGATGTTATTACGATAAATTGTAACAACGATCTCGTGCATCTTTTACTTTTATCCTTCTTGCGAGATAATTACTCAAAGATTATTCCATTGTTTTCGAATCGTTGAAACAATATTTCCATCTTTTCAAAAAAGATAAACATTTTCTTCTATAAACAAATATTTACATCGCGCGGAATGGAAGAGAAATTTTTGCATAAAAAAATTTCGCGAGAAATACATCGTGTGTGGGTTTCGATCGGTAAAGGAAACTGTATCTATCACACACGAGGCGGATCGTGTGAATTTTTGCGTTCTTTTTTCGCACGGTTCCATCCAAAAAAGGAAAGATACGACGCACGAAAAGGATCGAAACACCCCGGTGTCCCATGGGACAGGACGCTTTTGTGCCGAACGAAAGGGTCCATGATCATGATTATGGATGGGCCTTAACGTCGATCGAGCCCCGTGGTCGGTTTACAATGGTACGCATTGATCGACTTAATTACCGTGATATCGACGTAATTAAAGCCCCGTTGTGTCAAGACCCTTCTCTCCAAGGCGTCGACAAAACCCGTGACTGGACTCCTGGCATCAGGATTCCATCACACCCTCCGTTGCTCGCTCACTCACTTTTTTTCCTCTTTGTTCCGCCCGGGCCGAGAAGAGGAGACCGCTCTGTCACTTCCTTCGCACGCCTCGCCGATGCTTTCTTGATAAGCTATTATCCGCACGGTGACCGCATCTTCACCGCGTATTCCACGCTTCACGCGTTTTCAATCACGTCACATAACAAGAAAAAAATGTAAACTCGAGACCGGTGTAGAAAAATTCCACAAAAATCTTGGTCGTCCATTACCGAATACCGAGGTGTTACGAGAACGACATCTATAATTGTCGATCACGCCCTCTATACGCGTTACGAATTGGCGAAACAATCGAACATCGTCGTTGTCGTACCAGTTGTGTGGTGCGGTATCGCGTCGCGTGGATTCGGGTTCGTTTGAAAATTTACCGTGTCCTTGTAGTTCATTTCCCTATATATTCCCTATATATTCAATTTATATCGTTTTGCGAAATTCTCGCGAGTACGGTAAAACGGTTCGCACGCTCGATCTGAATAGAAAGTGTAAACGAGTGCAAAACGAGAAACCTAACCACATCGTGCAAAATTCTCGAGGAGTTTGACAGGGATCGCGATCGTCCGAGCAGTCTGAATTCGGTGAGTAAAGAAATAACGTTTTGTTTCATTCGGTTGTGTATTCATACGGTTACGTTAACAAATCGAAAACGAGGTCTACGTATACGAATACGATTCTCGTCGCGGTACGGTCAATTAACTCGTTCGGAAGAAAAGATCTCCTCGCGGGAAAGAGGTTTGATTGATTTGCGATCCTCGCTATCGACGTAACGAGCAGAAAGCCACGAGTAGAGCTTTCCGTTCTCCTCCCGTTTTGCTCGTTACGTTCGAACGAAACGTATCGTTATAATTACGAGGCGTTGGCGTTTACGAGCGAAGGAACGATGCCTCGCACTTGTTAACCTCAACGTTCTCCTCCTCGGCGCGCCATTCGTTGGTAGGTAACGCGAGCACAGCGCCCTCTCGTCAAAGAATTCTTAATTTCGCGCCAACGGATCGCGCGTTTATTATATTACACCGTTCCACCGTGCATTTTAAATCGCGCAATCGTAAAGACTCGGAACTTTGTCAGAAAAATTGATCGTTGCAGAATCGTTACGAGTCCCTGTACTCGTGTATTGTACTCGTAGATTCTCGACGCTGAAAAAGATTTTATTCTCTCTCTCTCTCTCTCTCTGCACATCGTGAAACAAACACGCGCTAGAAAAAGAGACAGTTCCTCCCAGCGGGACAAAGGAACGATTCCCTCGTAAAATCGAAACGAATCTTTCCCACTCGCGTCGACAAGGAACGCGTCACCCAAGGGGCCGAAACCCACTCCCCCACTTTGGAACAGGAATTCCTCGGTCTCGGCTCGAATCCATCCTTGGAGAATTACACGGTGGAATTCGCGCCCTCTTTCCTTCGCTCCCTCTCGGCCCCTGTGTTTGGCCGGGTGCCGCGCTGTCCATTTGCAATTCTGACACACTTCGCGGCGCGGCTATAGAAGCGATCGGGACGAGGCCACGCTGGAATCTGTCCGCAGTTTGAAGGAGGAGGAAGGTGCCGCGAGTGGCGGTAGCGTTGGAATACCAAACGATTCCCGGAAACCGTTTCGCCTTCCTCTCCTCTTCAATTTCGTCCTCCTCGTGTCGCGGCCCTCGAACAGAGACCTCCCCGTGCCTTCGAGTTTTCGGGCGCGATACAGAGGAGGGGGATGTGGAGTCTCCGTGGCCAGGTTTAAGGGGTCGTTAAGAATGGGTTCGAGGGCCAGGGCCGTATATAACGGATAATTGACAGCCAGTCCCGGGGCCGCCGTTTACTTTGCATGGACATTGAATCCGCGCGGCAACGAATGGACGGATGGACGAAACGAGACGAAAGAATCGACGTGGGACCACGAAATTCGAACTCGAGGGAGATACGTCGTGGTGGATGCCGTTAAGGGAACGGGTTAAGGGAGGCGCGGTGTAAAGGCAAATGCTCTCATCACCGACCTCGTAAATTCTTCAATTTCGTGAAAAGGCACGTGACGCGCCTATCCTTTCCTCGATTTAATTGCCGCCCGTTGGAAAAAACGAAACGATCCGAATTCTCACGAGTTCTCAATATCTCGTGTCAAATACGATATTTCCTTTATTTTTCCCTTTTATTCTAAAACTCTCAATTTTTACGAATTCCATTTCGATCACCAATGATTCCACTTTAACATTCGAAAATTATTTCTCGTTTACACTCCGGTTTACGGAAGACGCGATAATCGTCGAGGAAGATGACGGTGAAATAAGATTGGACGGAATGACACGCGTGTGGTAATTAGGAACAGGATGTAAATGGCGATGGAAGGCTCGTCCGCGGACGAGCGTGCTCGTCGCGACAGCGGATCTTCCCACACTGGCGCGACGCGTAACAACATAATGTACAGTTAGACGAATGACAAGTAGAACAATCTCGATGCTCTTCTTCTCGGAACGTCGCAAATTATCATCCTCCACGATTCGTCTCGTGCCCGCGACGCGTTAAACAAGTGGATCAAATCTTTCTTTTCACCCGACTTTTTTTCCCTTCTCTCTCTCTCTC